TGGCATTGAGCTTACTTGTAGCCCAGGTTGGTCTTGAACTTACTGTGATCCTCCTGCCTCAGCCTCCCCAGTGCTGGTACTACAGACGTGTGCCACCACACCTGGCTACTTTGTTATTCTTATTTGGCTGCAGGGTTTGTATTTTTTTTTTTTTTTTTCAGTTCTCAAATGAGATATGATGGAGAAAGTATTCTCTAAACAATAATAGGTCAAACGCCTTGTAGGTGACTGATAGATCAAACTGAGTTTGGGAAGTGTTTAATAAAGAGACTGTATTTGCAAAAGTATTGCCAGGGGGTCTAAAGAAACCAACAAAGAGCCTGATGTGGTGGTGCACTTCTGTAATCCTAGCGCTTGGGAGGCTGAGGCAGGAGGATCTCTGTGAGCTCAAAACTAGCAAGTTCAAGGCCAGCCTGAACTGCATAGCAAAACATCATCTCAAAAATACAAACAAATAAAACAAGGAACCAACAAGTGATAGTTTAGTGTCTCTTTAGTGCTAATAACAGTAAAAGGGGTGCTAACCTGGGAGAGTTCAGGGGAACATTTGCTGTTGACTTTGTCTTCTTTAGTCCATGCCTGCTTGGACTTTAGGTATGTGGGAACATGAGCAAGTACTTTTCCCAGAACATCTCTGCTGGTGATACCTGCGGAGGAATCTGTGTGACTGTGTTTTGTGGTGCCTGAGAAACCAGGTCTGAAAGACCCAAGCGTGCGTTCTGTGGCTCTTTTACCTTACCGTCTCATCCTTTATCTCTTCTTCCACTGTCACTTTCCCTTTGTCTGTACTTTCTTGTTTACCTAAATTGTTACTCTCAGAGAAAGTGGTAACTTTTTTTTTGGACTAATCTTTACATAGGTGGTGGGGAACACACTTGGCAGGCAGGCCACAGCAGGCTGTTTCCATCATTGAAAGCTCTCAAAGATTCTGCATCACTGCTTACCCCTTAGTTTTCTGTTGTCCTGTCTTACTTATTTATAACCTTTCACTTTCTTGAGTCTTCTTTTCTCACCTTTCTCCCTTGAGAGTCCGCATTCGAAAAACAAAACAAGAGCAAAAACGCTCTTGCCTACGTCTTACCAAAGTTTTATAAGCCGTCTGACCTATTTTCATCCTTCCCCATATCACTGAATTTCCTGAAAATATGTCTCATAAGCTTTTGACTGCTGTTCAGTTTTCAGGTACAGTACTTTTTTAGATATATTAAAAACTTGAAAGCAGCAAACCATTTTCAGTCTTTATTTTATGCCTTTGTATAGATTTGTACAGAATTGATGATCTCTAGTTTATTTCTTCTTCTTTTTTTCTTGAGACAGGGCCTCCCTGGGTAGCCCAGGCTGGCCTCATCCTCTGCAGTCATCCGGCCTCTGCTGGGATTGTGGACATGTGCCACTATGCCTGGCTGATCTCTAGTTTCTTGAACCTTGCTTTCCTTTTTTTTCTAGATCATTATTCCATCTGTTTATTACCACCTTCTTCTATTTCTTCATACCTTCACAGTTTTCTTTAAAGACTACTTATTTTCCTATATTCTGATTTTCCTTAGGATTTCACCCTTACCTCTTTTTATGGTTTACTGATTTCCTTGGACAATTTCATCTACTTGCCTAGCTTCATCATTGCTTATACACTGGTAAGTCTTGAATTTGTATCTCTAGTTTTGATTTCATTGAGTTCAAGCTCAGTTTCGTTTGTTTTCTGGATATCATGTCCCAAATATACTCATCTTTTCTAAAACATGATTTAGCTTGCTATGTGTTCCTTGTCTATTAGTGGCTTTATCTTTTACTGATAGACTCTTACCCTTTTTTCTTTTGTTAAGTTTTGTTGTTTTGTTTTGTGACCAAATCAGTCTGGTGCCATGTTAGCTGCATTTGCATCTTAGTTGTGCTACTCGCGCTGGATAACTGGGCAAGTTGTTTAACTTCTCTGGACTTTGATTTTCTCTCGTGTAAAATGGGTATAGTAGTATGCATAGGAGTTATTTATTTATATATTTATTTCTTGAGACAGGGTTTTGCTATGCAGTTCAGGCTGGCATTGAACTCACCTTGTAAAACAGGCTGGCCTCAAACTCACAGCAATCCACCTGCCTCAGCCTCAACAGTGTTGGAATTATAGGCCTGCCCCACCATGCTCAATGAGTAGAATTTTTTTGAAGTTTAAGTGAGCTACTTCATGTAGTAGAATGGGGCTTGGCGCATAGTAAGTGCTAATTATGTTAGCTTGCATAGCTAGCATAGTATAGTAGCTATTATAATTAAGTCACCATTCACTTACATCATTTTTGAATGCCATGCAATGCTGTGGCACTAGGATTTCAAAGAAGAGTGAATAATCTAGCTCCTTGTCTAAAGGGCAGAGATATTCCAGTATAAATCATTGGCAGATACATTATAGGTCTGAGCAGATTCAGTATTGAATGGGCCATGTTAAGACAGAGGTAGATCTCACATTAACTTTTTTTTTTTAAAAAACTGTTGAAACACTTTATAAATTTTCCACTGCCTTCTGTGTCTGCTCCACCTTAAATTGCTTCCTAACATATTTTTAAAGGCATTGTTCTTGTCATTTCCTTGATTAAGAACCACCCTTGTTTCCAGGATGTCAATAAATAAAATCTAAAACCCTTAGCATGACACTTCTAATCCTCACCCATATTTACCCTTTTAACTCGATATGTTGTATCTCTTCTCTAGTCTGTGGTTAAGTCATACCAAACTGCAAATGTTCTTTAACTTTGTCATGCTCTTTCACAGTACCATATTTTTGTTTATACGGTTCTAAATATTCAGAAAGCATTGTACTGCTGGGCATGGTGATGCACGCCTGTACCCCAGCACTTGGTCGGCTGAGGTAAGAGGATCACGGCAAGTTCAACATCAGTGTGGCGTGAGTTCACAGAGTTCAAGGCCAGTCTGACTATGTGGTGAGACCCTATCTCAAGGAGGAGTGGGGTTGGGCAGAAGCGTTTCATTTTGCTCTTTTCATGACCAGTATCTCATTACAGACCTCTTTGCTACCTTTGGCATCCTTGTACAGTAGCCCAGGCAGAGTTTTAATTCTTTTCCTTTATACACCTCTGACAGTTTTGTAAATATTTCCATTTGCATATGTGGACATATATGTGTAAGACTCTCCCAGCTGTTTTTATCCATCTCTATATTTATCTTGCTTGTGTAGCACAATTTCCACTACTTTGTATGGATATACATTGAGTTAATCAGTGAGTAAGCCCTGCCTTTTATAATACTATTGCCTGTCCTGTGTCACCTTATAGGTCTCTTTAGCATAGTTGCTGCTTTCCTTTGGTTGTGATCTGGTAATTGTGAGAGAGTATCTGGGTAAAAGGAAGTGTTGGTTAGTGTACCCTTTGGTACCCTTTGGTTAGTATAATGTGAGCCCTCCAGTTCTTTTGATGACAGATTTCTGTTTTTTTCATTCTTTTTTTTTTTTTTTTTTTGAGTGTAAAGAGGAAGGGTAACTGTACCATACCGATCCCAAGAAGATTTTATGGTGTTTAGAGACGATATTGAGGAGGAGGTTCTGGGTGTGGTGAAAAACTGGACTGTGATGTGGGTCAACAGCTAGTTTGGTACTTTTTGTTTCTTTTTGATTTACTTAAGCATTCATTCATTGAAAAGTAAGTATTGAGTCCTACGTATTCTGTAGATAGTGGGGATTCAGCAGTAAAAGTGAGATACATTTTGTTCTCAAAGAGCTAATTTTTTAGTGGGGAAGATGGATAAATAATTTTAGACCCTGCTAAGAAGACAATAGGACTAGGAGGCTAGAGAGTGAAGGTGGGAAGATAAACTATTTAGACGGAATTGTTAAGCAAATTCTCTCTGAGAAGCTCACATCCGAAAACAGCAATGAGAGCAATGTGAAGAGCAGCAGAACATTCCTGGAAGAGGGAACAGAAAGTACAGTATCCCAGAAATTTTGTGTGACTGAAGTATAAATGAAGAGAATGGTAGGTAGTTACGCAGATGAAATCATATAGTCTCTATAGGAGTCGAGGTAAAGAATTTAGATTACTACTGATATGACAGGAAATTGTTGGAGGTTTTCATCAGAGAAGGGCTATAATGTAATTTATGGTTTAAAAATATTGCCTGGCTTGCTATACAGCAAATAGACTCTTTAGAGGGTAAGAATGGAAGCATGAGAGTCAGACTGGAAGCTATTGGAATAGTGAGACATGTATTGAGGTAGAAATGCTAAGGTTTGCTGATGAGCTGGAAATTCTCAGGAAAAGGAGGAATAAGGATGAGGCACAGGATTTTGATGATGCCTAAACTAAACACATAGATGAACATTGGTATTTATTGAGATGGAAAAGCCTGGAAGAATAAGAGATTTGGTGATGGAAAGCATGTTATTTTATTAGCATGTTGTTATTTTAGCATGTTAAGTTTTTGGTGCTAGCTGTGAGTATGCATGAGTATAAATGAGTGGAGCACCAAGTGGAGGGGTGGTTCCAAGTTCTTCCTGTTAGCTAGTGAAGAAAGGTAAGCCCTGCCTTTTTTTTTTTTTTTTTAAAGAGAAGAAAGTTAAAAATGTTTTATTTTAGTTCTCAGTTTGTAGAGGTTTCAGTCCAAAGTCACAGTCATCTGGCCTCAGAACAGGATAGCATAGCACAGGGATATTGCAGGGAAGCCACCCATGTCATGGTGGAAGGGAGGCAGAGAGCTGCAAGGGAGGAACTGGAAGAGGAAATCCAATCTTCTGGATCATTTCACAGTGACTGGCCTCTTCTGACCAGGCTGTACCTCCTAACAGCAGGTGGCTGCCGTGAGCCTGTAATCCAAGTGCCTTCCAAAGGTCCTACCTACAATCACATGGGCCTTTACGGGGACATCTAGATATAAACCATAACAGACTGTTTCACACCATTAGGGGGAGGTCTTTCCTGAACTCTAGACTAGAGTACTTCCTACTCCATGTAGGAGAGATAAGGTTTGTTTATCCTTTCCATTCTCTCTCCTTGACTTAGATTTGCAAGTCTGGACTGGGCAGTGACCTCTGGGCTAGTTATTCCAGTCTGGTATAATCTTTGGCTCCATGGCCAGTTACTGGCTGCAACAGACCAGATGAAGCAGATTGGAGACAGAAGTGGAGAAAGCCTCCAGCTGGCATATCCTCAGAGTGTAATCCTCTGGCTGCTGGCCCTGCCCAGCCTGCCTCATGGAGAGGATGAACTGGCTGAGCAGACTAGCCTCCCGGGTCCCCGGACACCGTGTACCTCAAGGGGCCAATCTTCAGGCTCCTGTCATGGCTGACCCTGAGACTTGCCTCATGGTCTTCAAGAATCACTGGTCCCAGGTAGGAAACCATATGCCAAAAGTGCCCAGTTCACTGATGAGTTGTCCTAACCTTCTGTGTTCTGTGTTTTGACTGTTTTATTGTGGTTTCATCTTTTTTTTTTTCTCCAGGTGGTGCGAATCCTGGAGCGGCAAGGCCCTCGAGTAGTTCCTGGAGGTGCAGATGATCTCAGTGCTGTGCGCAACCACACTTATCAAATGTTAACACTGCTGGCAGAGGATCGTGCTGTCCCTTCGGCTCCCACAGGCCCTGGGCCCCTGCTGGAATTTGCTCTGCGTGAAGATCTGCTGACCCGTGTGTTGGCATGGCAGCTGCAGTGGGATGAGTTTGGGGATGGGGTCGAGGAACGACGTGCTGAACAACTAAAATTATTTGAGATGCTAGTGAGCGAAGCTCGTCAGCCTCTGCTGCGGCATGGTCCAGTTCGTGAAGCTCTGCTCACACTTCTGGATGCCTGTGGCCACCCTGTGCCTAGTAGCCCAGCACTGGATGAAGGCCTGGTGCTACTTCTCAGCCAGCTGTGTGTTTGTGTGGCCCAGGAACCTTCATTGCTCGAGTTCTTCCTGCAACCACCTCCTGAGCCAGGAGCTGCTCCACGTCTTCTCCTCTTTTCTCGCCTTGTCCCTTTTGTCCATCGAGAGGGAACCCTAGGCCAGCAGGCCCGCGATGCCCTGCTTCTGCTCATGGCTTTGTCAGCTGGGAGCCCTACTGTGGGCCGTTACATCGCAGATCACTCTTACTTCTGCCCGGTTAGCAGGCCCTAGTATGGGGGGGGGGGTGCGGGGTGGGTATGCTGTGGCATGTGGACATCGGGCAACACTTTCCTATCCCGGAGATGTGAAAGGCTAGGTACCAGGGCATTCATCTCCTGGAAGTAAGCTGGGGATTTGAAAGCAGTTCCTGGAGTTGGACTGGGTGTGGACTATGGGCCTTCATGGTTAGGGAAGATGCAGTGTATTTTGTGAATCAGTGTTCCCTGAAGTCCTGGCACACTAAGTAAACACCTGCTTTGGTAACATCTCTTATCTCCACTTCCATCAAAATTCTGGACTAAGGGTTTCCATATCATGCTCTTATATTTTCTGAGCCTTTGGTAACCTCCTGTAGGTGCTGGCCACAGGGCTAAGTGCCCTGTACTCCTCACTGCCCCGAAAGATCGAGGTTCCAGGGGATGATTGGCACTGCTTGCGTCGGGAAGACTGGCTGGGAGTGCCAGCCCTTGCACTGTTCATGAGTTCCCTGGAGTTTTGCAATGCAGTCATTCAGGTACAGTTGGGATTCTTTGGCATTATGGTCCTTGGTCATTCTTGAAAGTAGGGAAGGGATGAATTCCCTGGAGGTCTGCTATTCCGGCATCTTGGGGATGGGATACCTTCCTCTATTATGCCATTCTTCCCTTTCTTTCTCCTGTTGCTACAGGTGGCTCACCCTCTGGTGCAGAAACAGCTGGTTGACTATATTCACAATGGGTTCCTAGTGCCTGTCATGGGCCCTGCTCTGCACAAGGTGAGAGTCACAGTTGACAAGGTGTGTTGGGGCCAGACTACAGGGTGGTAACTTTAGTGACAGGACCAGCGTGGAAGGCGGTGGGGTGTGCCTCTTCTTTTCCCTGTCTTTTCCTGGTTCTTCCTTAGAGCACAAGGAAAATGACTCAAATGTGCAGGGAATTCATGTTTCCAAACTTTGCCTTCCTCTCATCCAGACCTCTGTGGAGGAGATGATCGCCAGTACTGCCTATCTGGAACTTTTCCTGCGTAGTATCTCAGAGCCTGCATTGCTCCGTACCTTCCTGCGATTCCTGTTGTTACACCGGCATGATGCCCACACCATCCTTGACACTCTTGTCGCCCGTATTGGCAGCAACTCCCGGGTATGGCCCCTAGCTCTGTACTGGCTTATGTGGGTTACCCATTTCTCTGTGACCTTTGTTTTCAGAGGATGTTTCTGTTCTTTGGTTTTTGTCCGATCACTTCAAAAGTAGGTGGCGTTTTCTAGCACTAAACTTCTAGCCATTTTGGGACAGAATTAATTTACTGCATTAATCTAGAACCGAGTTATTTCTTTTGCTATGACAGCTCATCATGACTGAGTTTTGCCTTTGCGCAATGTCTGTAATATAGCTTTGCCCTAAGGTTCTTTTTCATTGCTTGTTATCCTGTGGTATGCATGGTTGATTTGAGATCATTTTGGATTTTTGTCTGTATTGATATCATGACTAGGTGTCACTAATATGCTTACCTTCCTTTCCCTTTGCATCTGCTGCATTTGAACTATAACTTGGGACTCACATCCACCCACCTATCTGCTTACATTCCCTCTTCCTACACATTTTTGTTTAATGTTTGCTATATGCTGTGCTGTTTGATGGTGCTGAGGATAGAATGTAGACAGCATTTCTGATAAACATTGTTACTGACTTCCTGGAGAGAAGGTAGGCTAATAAGCACATTAATAAAATAACTAAAAATTGTGGTCATTGTTACGTAAAAAAACAAATAGTGAATTTGGAAGATAATAGGATGGCTAAGGCCCCTCTGAGGAGGTAACACAGAGCTGAGACATAAAGGTTGCGAAGGAGTTAGTCTAGTGAATGCTGAGTAGAAGAACAGTCTGGCAGAGAACATACAAAAGACACTGAAAAGGATAAGAGTTTTAATATATTTTATGAAATGGAAGACCATGACTGGCGATGTAGTGAGCAAAAGAAAGCAGGGAATGAGATGAAAATTGAGAGGTAGATAAGGTTCAGATCATTCCAGGTATGGTGGTACATTCGTACAATCCTACCATTCTGGGAGACTGAGTCTGAGAGACCTGCAAGTTTGAGCTCAATGTGGGCAGTGTAGCAGTTTAGGGAGATCCTGTCAAAATAACAAACAAGAAAGGGGTGGGTATGTAGTTCAGTGTGGAGGTCCTGGGTTCAATACCTAGTATTGCCAAAAACATTTTTTTTTTTTCAAATTGTACATGGTCTTGTTGATCAGGATTTTTAATTAGCAGAAACATACATAAAATGAGAGTAAGTAGTTTCCAAGTAGTGAAGACTTACATGCTCTATAGGGGGATAAAGCATTAGTTTAACTGTGAATTTTATAGCATTTATTTCGACTGAGACCCTTTTGCTGCTTCAATTACAAATATTTGAAATTTCCTTGATCCTTGTGTTTCCATGAAAGTTCTTCAATTATTAAGAGTTCTGGTGGTGCATACTTCTAATCTCAGTCTCTAGAAAGGCAGGAGGATTATAAATTCAAGACCAGCTCATGCAATTTAGCAAATTAGGGAGGCCCTGGCTCAACATGAAAATAAAAGAAGGACTTGGGATATAGTTCAGTGTGAAGACTCTGATTCCAATCCTCACTACCAAAAGAAATTAAAACAATAACAACAGCAAAAAGTTCTGGAAAACTGTTCTAGAATTAAAGGACTTAGCAATACAATTTCAGGTCATTGAGATTCCTGGATAGTTGTGTTTTGTGTGGGTTCAGTTTCTAGATAATGAACGTAGGATATATAGGAAATACTCCATATTGATTTTGTATAGACCGGTGTTTCTGAACCAGATGTATAGTTTAGAATCATCTAACTTTGACCAACAGGTTCCAAGATATTAAATCTCTTGAATTATATAGTCTTTGGAAATAGTTTATAAAGTATTCTAAAAATAACCATGATGCATGCTTTGAATTAACATTTATTGACGTAAACCTGAAGTTGGAGAGGTGTCCTAGACTCTAAAGGTTTAGTTTTACAAAGGTAACAGCAGAGTTTTGTTCCTCATTATTCTGAAGTTAGGCAATAATAGTCTTAGATCTGTTTGACCTATGGGATGTTTAGCAATAGTTGACTTCCCTTTTCATGTTCACCCCTCCTCCTCTCCCATGTCTATCTTTCTTTCATCTTAATCTTATCCTCATTTTGTTATCCTTCATTATTTTTAGTCCTTAGTACTCATTGGTCTTCTTTTGATCCCTTGATTTTAGAAATCTTTCGTGTTTTTGGGATACTTCTTCTTGATTCATAGTTCTTGGAGGAACTAGTTCTCTTCTGATTACAGGATTCCTGTGCTGGATATGGAGATGGTTCCTTTCTGCCATGTGATCATGTCAAGCTTGAAATTGTTGGCTTGACTCTATAACTCATATATCTTGTCTTTTGTCCCTTGAAATGAATCATTCTGACTAGTCTATGTGTCTTGATTATCTGGGCTAGTTTCCTATTGTTGATGTAATAAGTTACCATTATCTTATAGTTTGGAGGATATATTTGGATTGAAGACAATTGATTTTCTTTTTCTTTCTTTTTTGGTCTTTTTCGTTTTTATCGGTACCAGGAATCGAACTCACGACCGCACACTTGCAAGGAAGGCGCCTATGCCACTGAGCTAAATCCCCAGCCCCTGACAATTGATTTTCTTATATTTGTAAATCTCAGCGACATTTATTGTTTTCTTGCTGGCTGTGCACTGAAGACTGTTTCTAGCTTATGGGACCAACCAGATTTCTTGACTCTTGGCTCCTTCTTTCATTTTTAGATTAGAACTATGTTTCAAATTTCTCTTCCTTTTTTTTTTTAAACACTACCTGGTAAAGTTTCTTTTATTTTTAAGGATTTGAGGCTTGATTGGACCCACTTAGATAATGAAGATTTATCTCCCATCTCAAATTCTGTAATCTTAATCATATCTGCAAGTCTCTTCTGCTATGCAAAGTAAATATTTACAGGTTCAAGAGATTAGGATGTGGACATCTTTGAGGGACTGTTGTTGTACCTATCATATTAATCTTCAGTGAGCCTGAATTCTTCATTGCTAGTTAAAGTGGCCAGTTAGGATAAGCTGCTTGAGCAACCGTGCTCTGCAAAATGTGAACTGCTAGCTCACCTTTTTCCTGCTATGTGATTGGCTTTTAATTCCCCCACAGTTCATTAGCAAACAGTTAACCCCTAGCCTGTAACTTATTAGTTATCTTGAGAGAGCATTAGGTATTGGACATACTTGCCATAAGTGTAGAGAACATGCTAGGAGGATTCAGAGGAGGCAGAGTGAAGTATGTCTGTTTTTTGTTGTCCCCTCTAGCTAGACATTAACAAGTCTTCTTCCTTTTTTAAAACAAAAGATTTCCCTTAACCTGAACTCACCTACTTTTTCCTTTTCCTGTCAGCTGTCCTAGAGCTTTTATTTTTCTACCTTCTGAGACACACTGGAGTTGGAGAGGTGACTCAGAATCTGTGTTTACAGCTCTGCTTACTTCCCAGTTGGGACACTTCCAGGTTTCCTCTGGGTCCTTGTTGGTGGGCATCCAATTGTGGTGTTACTAGAGTCCCTGCTGACAGGTATCCACTTGATTAGTCTGCTGCTGCCGTTTTCTGTTTGTCATTCGCTTAGCCACAGTATTTTTCAGTGTCTCTTTTCTTGGGCTTTCATTCTAGTGTTGCTAGAGTCTCAACTGACAAGCATATATGCCCAGAGAGTCTGTTGTTATGTATGTGATCTCAGGAAATGTCTTGGGTCTGGCACATAGTTCATTTGTATATGAGTAGTGCAGGCTTATCCAGAAGACTACGTGATCAGCTAGTCACTACTTGAATGGCTGTAATGTGACAGGCCCAGTGCACACTCGTTGCTCTTGGAGTGGTTGGTTGGACCTGGGGTTGGGGCATGAGTTCTCATTTGGTGAATATTTTGGAGGCTAGAGAGATCTTATGGTGACTCCATCCCTCCCCCATCCTCCAGCTCTGCATGGTCTCTCTGAGTCTCTTCAGGACCCTCCTGAACCTCAGCTGTGAGGATGTCCTGCTGCAGCTGGTTCTCAGGTACCTGTGGGGGCAGGGCCAAGGGATGGCTGATCCTCAGGGCCGTGTGCATTGCTGGCTTGATGGGCTGTCTTGAGGTCTCTTCATGAATATCATTCTGGAGCATGGCTTAGCCATTTTATTATTTTGCCCTGCTTTCTTTCAGGCACTTTCCTTTCTGATATGTCCCATATCTCCTCTCTGCTCTTTCCCAGGTATCTTGTTCCATGTAACCATGTGATGCTAAGCCAGAAGCCAGCTGTACGTGATGTGGATCTCTATGGACGAGCAGCTGACAAGTTTCTTTCCCTAATCCCACGCTGCTGTCGGCACAGTGCTCCTAGCCCACCTCGTCCAGAGCATGCCTCATGGGCACGAGCTGGGCCGAGCAGAGAGGCAGGGAGAAGGGAGGACATCATGGGTATGGCCTGGGTTCTGGGTGATCATAGTAAGGAGATGGGGCTAGGGTGAGGGGAGGGAGGTGACCATGAGTGACTTTCCTTCTTTGGGAAGATTGATGAGAGGTTTTGCAAGAAGGATCCTAAACCTCACCAAAGAAATGTGGGTTGGACTTCTGGGCATATGTTTGCCTCTCTTCAGCCCAGTCCTATACTCTTTGTTTTCATTTTCTGATGGTGGTTATAGTGAGGGTGGTGGTGGTGGATGAGGGAGAGGTTAATCTGGAGGTTGGGAGCTATCTAAATAGGCTCTGTATTTCTGCCTTCTTAGTACCTCCTTAGTCTTGCTATGTATTTTATCTCTCTTCTTAGAACTCTGTCTCCTTGGTTCCTCTTATGCTCTTTTCCCCTCTGAAGGCCCAGGAAGCCCAAGTGTTGATTCTTCTTCTGTGGTGACAGTGCCTCGGCCCTCCACACCATCTCGTCTGGCTCTCTTTCTTCGGCAGCAGAGCCTGAGTGGCTCTGAGTCCCCAGGTCCAGTCCCTCATTCGCCAGGGCTTGCTGCATCTCCAGCCTCCAGCCCTGGCCGGCGGCCCAACCCTGCAGAGGAGCCCGGTGAGCTGGAAGACAATTACCTGGAGTATCTGCGTGAGGCACGCCGTGGTGTGGACCGCTGTGTCCGAGCCTGCCGTACCTGGTCTGCCCCTTATGATGGCGAGCGTCCCCCTCCTGAGCCTAGTCCACTTGGCTCTCGGACTAAGAAACGCAGTCTACTGCCTGAAGAGGACAGGGACGATGTGGGGCAAGGGGAGGAGGAAGAGCTGGGGAGTAGGGGGCTGTCTGGGAGTGTAGGGGAGGGCCCTGCCCACCTGCCTCCTCCCCAGCTCAATGGAGTGCCAGGACCATGGCCTGAGGGAGCCAAGAAGGTTCGTCTGGTGCCATGTCTGGTGCCACAGGAGGGAGCCAGGGAACTGCTAGAGGGTACTTCTGAGAGTATGGCAGGACTAGAGAGCTTTGGGCAAGAGCTCCATGAGCTGGAATTGGCATTGAGCAATGGTGGAGCTGGCTCAGAGCATCCTCTAGAGCCTCCACTACCTCTTGAGGAGGAGGAGGCCTATGAGAGCTTCACCTGTGCCCCTGAGCCCCCTGGCCCTTTCCTCAGCAGCCCTTTGCGGACTCTCAACCAGCTGCCGAGCCAGCCTTTCACTGGTAAGCTACTTAACCTAGGAATTCTCCTTTGTGTACTCTTTGCATGCTCTTGACATGTTTGTGCTGATTTCTGAGACTTCTTGGCTATGTCATTTCTGTGTACTTGCCTAGCCCTCATCCATTTTGCTTGGGTCCCTTCCAGATACATATCACATCATTCTTTGGTCTGCGTATTTGTCTGTCTTCCATGCTTGTGCTGGTTTGAGTGTCTACTTAACATTTGAGCAGACATATGTATGTTCAATGTGCATGTTCCTCCTTTTCCCTGAGTCTGGCCATTTCCTGGGGTTTGTAATTAAGGGATTGTATGTTTGGTGTTTGCTGGTGGATTACGATAATATATTAAAACTGTATGGAAGAGTTGTATCCAGTGGGAGTCACTTGTAAACCTCTGTTCTAGATTGTTCTCATCAGTATGTCAGGGTGTTGACTAGTATATCATCCCTCCTATATCCTAGGGTCAGTCCTGTCCTCCTTCACTCAGTTCCTTCCTCCACATCTCTTTAAAGAAGAGCTCGCTCAGTTGTCCACTGTTCTTGTCTTTTCCTGGTTGCTATGACTTTTAAGTATGACAACCTTAGGGATTTATGATTAGTGGTAAGGACAAAGTAGAAAAAGTGAAATACTCTTTGAGGGCAGTTGACAAAACATGGCCCTGAGCTCCCCAGATGAGTCCTTTTGGGTTCTCCAGGATGCTTCTGAAGCTACACCTGACCTAAGTGGGTAGGCTTCTAACCCTTTTCTGGCTTCTAATCCTCAAAACACGTATCCCATGCCAGGGAAAATAAAAACATCCTGGCAAGCTAAAGATAACGTCATAGGATTTGGATTAGGTATACTTTAAGTTGGCATCCTATCTCTGCCTTTGATGGCTGTGACTCACTGCAGTACTCGTATACTGTTATATCTGAACAAGTAGTTTTTCACTAGGATTTTCATTTTGGGGTTCATGGCATATTTAAGGTGACCAAGGGAACCGTCCATCTTCTAGTTGTTTGTGGTCTGATTATGTTTAATTTATGCACCATTTTGATCTGTTCAGGTCCTTCCTAGGTCAGGATCCTGCTTGTATAGCATTGCAGCTTCTGCTCTAGTGTAAATTTCGTTTCCTTGCAGACCGTAAAAAACATCTTTTATTTGTCCTCCACTCAGCTCCTTTCCACTCATTACCATTAGGAAGTGGAATGCAGGTTTTACCAGTCTTAAAGTATTAAAGTTTTTTTTTTTTTCTTCCTTGTAACTTAAAAATGAGCTTTTTGAATTGTCTCTTACAAGAAGCTCTCAGTAGTAAGAGGAATGGACTGATAAAGTTACAGATTATCAGACTAGTGTTGTTTTAAACTCATGGGCACTTGAAGTAAAACATGTACTAGGATCTTTTTCAGACTTTAGCACTCTTGCTCTTTTTTTCCTGTCTCAATTCATAATTCAATTCTGAAAATCATTACTTTTCGTCCCAAAATTCCTATCAGAAAGACTGTTGGTTCTAGAGTTCTAATGCTGGTGATACATCTCTCTTTCAGTGGATAATGCTAATCTCTTCTGTTCTTTGCCACTGTAAGTGAGTTTACTGTGCCTCTGAACTAAATTATCCTTCTGCTGCATGTTTTCTATTCCACCTTCTTGGCCCCAGCTCCTCAAAGACAGAGCTTATGTCTTCTGGGGTATTCCGCAGATTTCTCCTCTAGCAATAAACATTAAATACAACCCCTTTGTTTGTCTTTCCTACAGTTTCTTGCTTTTTTTTGACCAAGTTTTGTGTTACTCTGTCTTATGTGGAACCTGATTTTGTGTTTTGGTCTTAATCACTTTCTCCGCCTATTCATTCTCCTGTTGTGCTTCTTGGATGAAGCTTTTTAAAAACTGAGAAATACTTTATAGCTTATAGTTAAAATTGAATACATAAATATTGTCAGACCTTAGACTTAATACTTTATATTGATATATTTGATCCTCTTAATTACCTTGTATGGTAGCTAGGTATATTTTCTTAATTTTGGTAGGATACTACAGCTTGGGAGCCTCATCCAGTAACCTAACTAGTAAAGGATAAAGGAGAAATCTAAAATGAGATCTCTGGGATTCTGGAACCTGAGATCTGGCTCTTTAGCACCAATGTGTATAAAGCCAGCGTCTAGACACTTGTGGGTTCTTGTGGTGCTTACCATCTTACTTTCTGCAGGGTAGGCAGTCACAGGATGTTCCAGCATAGCCAGAGACTAACATACAATTATTTTCATCTAGTGGGAGTTTCTTATTTTGGGGAGGAAAGCGTGCGATGTGCATTGTGTTCAGGCCTTGTATCCTTGTGCCCATCCCCCCCAGGCCCCTTCATGGCTATGCTCTTTGCCAAACTTGAGAACATGCTGCAGAACTCCGTCTATGTCAACTTCCTGCTGACGGGGCTGGTGGCCCAGCTGGCCTGTCACCCCCAGCCCCTGCTCCGCTCTTTCCTGCTCAACACCAACATGGTCTTCCAGCCCAGTGTCAAGTCCCTGCTGCAGGTGTGCGATGCATGCATGCATGGGTGCGTCCAGGCTCCATGGTGGGCCAGGTCTGCAGCTGGAGTGACCCTGGGTGGGCTGGGAACAGGCCCAATGGGACCAGAAAAGACTGTGTCAGTTTGGAGCCACCAGAAATGTCATGAAGTTGTGCCTTATAGGTGCTGGGTTCTGTGAAGAATAAGATTGAGAGCTTTGCAGCCTCCCAGGAGGACTTCCCAGCATTGCTATCCAAAGCCAAGAAGTACCTCATTGCCCGTGGCAAGTTGGACTGGGCTGAGGGTCCTACAACAGGACCTGCCCCCCGCTGCTCCGACCCCCTAGGTGAGGCCTGTTCTGTCACCCCACTCCTTGCCCTCCCTAGACAGCCTGTTAGTTTAGGTTTGTTGAATTCTTATTAAAAGTGAAACCTCATGCCAGGTACTATAGAGTTGTAAAAACAGGTGGAGTCTTAGTATTTGTTCTCAGGCTTTAGGTCAGAGGTTAGAACCTAGTTATATTAAGTAAGAGCCCAATCACCAGTAACAGCAAAGTCTGCCTCAAGATTTAGGAACAAGCAAGGGAACAATAGTCCCTATGTTGTTAAATTGTGAGAGCTTAGTTAATGATGTAATATTTGTTGTGGTTAGACTGAGGCAGGCAGAGTTGTGGAAGGTCTTTATTTTTTGGTCAGGAAATGTGGGGACTGTCTAGTTGCACCAGCAGTTTAAATGTCAACTGATCAGTGATGTTAAAGCTGAAAATATTTGGCTAGCGCAGAAGCTTCTCAGAGTAAAAGCTGGGTTGGGTAGAAGTTGTGATCTTTTAGGCAGTGAGAAGCCACTGGAGGTTCCTAAGTCTGCAAGTGGAAAGACGGGTAAGTTGGTGGAGATAAATTAGAATTAGAAGGAGTCAGAAAGAACAACTGACCAATGAAGCATGCATTTAGAATAGTGGAAAAGGAAGGAAGCATTTTGATAAGATGGAAATGGGAAGGAAGTATTGATAAAATTTGGTGAATGGATAAGGAAGAGGGAAGAATTCAAAGTGATCATGAAATTTTAAATCTAGATTTTTAATGTGGACCTGAGCACTTGCCACGTGGGCTTGTCATTATTTTTGGCACAAAGGAATTTGAGTGGTACAAGCTGAGATCTCTGCCTTTGAAGAGCATATGGTCTAGAGAGTAACTAGAGGACTGTAGTAATAGAGGCAGCAAAGTCTTGAAAGTGGTGGGATATAGAGACCAGAAGGAAATTAACTTTGGCCCTAGAAAGTTTTTTTGTTTTTCACCCTTTGAGGCAAACGAGTAGAGATGGAGGTGGAAATGCTGTATACCAATGGATGTGAAGGATGTGAAGGACCAGAGGTAGGGAATGTTGTGAAGGATGGTAGGGGATGTTAAGGATTTCATGTCATTCTTTCTTTGCTTATTCAAATAGGTGGCAAAATGATATGCTGAGGGTGAGAACAGAGGTAAAATGGAGGTTCAAAGAGAAAGTGTCTGGATTAGGAAGAGTACCACAGGTTATGCTAACTGTGAAGGCCCTGCTAAATTCCTTTGCGTGATTTCCTAACAGTTTAGTATTGTGATAGCTTCTTACTTCTATAGTTCTACTATTGGGATCACTGGAAGTGCCAACGATATGAAGATAGATAGGGCACAATCTAAGATCTTCCGCTCACAGATTAGTTCATCAAGTAGAACATGTAAGAAAAAATTAATGTTGAGAAAAGGACAGTAAAACAGGAAGTTAGTGGAGGGCAAATGGAGATTTCCCAGGGAGTTTGAGATAATAAAAGTAAGCCAGAAAGGATGAAAAATGTAAGGAAAGCAAGATATAGACAGTGGGAGCCATAGATGCATGCAAAGTGCCTACTAAGTTCCAAGAAGATAGATGTGGATAGCAAAACAAGGTGGGTGTGGAGAGTTTGAGAAGAGGTTGGAGGGGTGTGAGCTTGCTTGTAAAGAGCTCTGAAGGCCAAGTTTGATAGATCTGTGGAGTATCTCTGTGGTTAACCAGAGGTAGGGAATGTTGTGATCTAGAGGCTTGAGTCTAGACTAGATAGTGGGCATGGCTTCAGACCCAGGAATATACCAGAAAAATAGGGAACGGACAGTGTCTTAAAAGGCTTGAATCTGACCCAATACGAAGTTGTCTTGCCAGGACAAGTGAAAAGGAGGACGGGCTGATGAACAGTGAAGTGATGTTTCAGGAAAGCAGATTTTAGAGGTAGAGTGTGACAGGAATAAAGTAGTCCCTGAACTGTGATTAATACATACAGTTGCTGTGTTGAAGGAGCAGGTGGTCTGGGTCAGGTGTTATGGGTAGGGAGGGAAGACTAAGTGACTGACTATAGTTCTGGAAAGTAATGGGAAGGTGGGCTGGGGATTTAGCTCTTCGGCATAAGGGCCTGCCTTGCAAGCAGGCAATCATGAGTTCGATCCCTGGTACCGATAAAAAGGAAAAAGACAGACAAAAAAAAAAAGAAAGTAATAGGAAGGTGATGGATAAAGGGCATGTTGTAGATGGATGAGAGATTTTGTGGTGGTGGTAATGACTGGAAAGAGTAGAATTCCTCAGGGTAAGTGGGGCATAGAGAAGGAAGGAATCATAGCTGGGAATGAAGAGGCTCAAGTGTTGGCTAGTTACAATTAAGGAGGCTGGGGAGGCTGGGCAGAGGGGAGAGGCTGGGCAGGCAGCATTTGAATGTTAGAATGGGAAGAACACCCCCCTCTATTTTTGGGGATTTTCTTCACTGATGGGATAAAAAGTGGGAGCCTGGGGTTCATTTCTTGATCTCTTAGAACCCTAGTGGAGTACCCAGGACCCTAGGGGGATGGAAAACTGTACTTGCCCAAACTCTGGCAGGTTCCCTGATCCCAGCACCTTCTTGACACCCCTGTTTATTCCCAGTGAAGAGCCGGAGGCCGTCCTTGGGGGAGTTACTCCTGCGGCATGCACACAGTCCAACAAGGGCCCGGCAGGCGACACAGGTCCTTCAGCCTGGGCGAGACGGAACTGGACTTGGCCTAGGTGGGGGCTCCCCTGGGGCATCGACTCCAGTTCTAATTCCCAAGGGCGGGGCCCCAGAGCGCCAAGGTGAGGCTCTGCGAGTCAAGAATGCTGTCTACTGTGCAGTCATTTTCCCTGAGTTTCTCAAGGAGCTGGCTGCCATCTCCCAAGCCCATGCTGTCACCTCGCCTTTCTTGTTGGATTCTTCAGAGGAGGGATCAGGCCCTCCCATCTCAGGCTTTGGGGCCCTCAATCCTTAATTTTCTTCCATGGACAATCAGGGCCGTAAGTGACCTGGGCTGAGGCCAGGGCACAGGCTCCTTTTTATGTTTGGAGGCAGTGGCAAAATAACTTTTTAATTTATTTCAGATGAATGTTTTATGGAGAACTTATTGCAATATGTATAAAAGGGAAATCTCTATTCTGTGCTCATTCTTTTTTCCCACCCTTTACCTATGGGGCTGGGCCCCCAAAATGGTTGTACACAGCTGGGAGGTTATCAGGAGTGTTGTCTCTGGTGAGGACATTGATGGCAGGCTTTAAGCTATCTCTTTTGCCCTTAGAGGGTGAGAGAACTTGAAGGCAAGGGAAAAAAGTGGGAACTCTTTTCCCCTGCCTCTGGACCACAGAATGAAGAACAACGTGGGCCCGGGATGGCTTGGGGGAACAGCAGCTGATGTTTATTGGGGACCAGTATCCCTTTGCCAGATCTTGGGGGCCTTGCCCCCTGCATCTTGTGCTTCAACTTCATTCGTCGCTGTCGAACTCTGAGGACAGACCCTGCAGCAGGGGCAGGGACATGGAGTGCCGGTCTGGGTCCCCAGGGCCCCCACCCTGAGCTCCTGGTGGGGGGCTGTGGGGGCCGAAGAGCCAGTTCTCTGCCAGGGTTGGGATAGTCACAGCTTAACTCATGCCGTAGTTTTTCTGATTCCCCAGTCCCTCCCTCTGGTTCTCTGTGTTCCCCCCACCCCGTACCAGGGCCATACTTCAGATTTACCCTCCCCTGGATCCATTGTGCTGTCTCCCTCACCAGGGGTATAGAGTCTTGTGTGCCCCCCACATTTATTACCTGTATTCCCCATATCCCTTTACCCTCTCCACTTTGTCCCTCCCATCACATCATCATTTCCTCCAGCAATACCTGATAACATCTGGGGACCTCTGCGGAATAGGTTTCGGCCCTTGTAGGCGAATCTGGTGGGTTTGCTTTCTGGCCCTTCCTGGGGAGGTGGTGTAGGTGGGGTTGGGACAGATGGGGGCCCATCAGCAGCTTCGGGAATATCAGCAGGAGCTGATGGAACCAGAGTTGGCATGGTGCTAAGATTGGGTCTGACCCATTTGGCCCCACGGGGCAGTGGGTCTTTGGTCAGAGGTTTCTGTGGTCCCAGAACACCTTTGGGCTGCAGTGAAAATTTGAGGCAGGAGAAGGCAATAGGCAATGGCCGCTGTAACCGGAGTAGTTGGGGCTCACTGGCTGTAGGCAGCAGCTCCAGCTGCAGCCAGGAGCAAGAGAAGACCTGGTAGATGACATAGATGCTATGAGTGCTTCGGAGCCAGGGAAGATTCTGCTGTAGGTTTACCTGCCCTGATGGCAGCAACAGGAAAGCAACCTTCTTACGCAGGCCGCCTGTATGTAGGCGGATCCGACAGGGCTGCCCATCCAACAGTCGTATCTCTTCGTAGGTTATCTCTGCTCGGCCATTTGGTGAGTATTCCCGAGTGCAGTGGGCAAAGTTCCCCTCAGATCCTGCTTGCTCTAGGAGGTTTGGTAGTGGTCCCACTGGTTCTAGTGCTCTTCGGACCTGCCGACCTGGCAAAGCCAGGCGGGTGTGGGCTGGCCGGTACTGTTTCACTAGCACACCAAGTAGGTCATAGAAGGCTGCATCTGACAAGAAAGGCACTGCCACTACATTGCATCCAAAGTGTTTCTCGATAACCTGCAGGTGATCAGTTTGTTAGTCAGGGACTGAGGGTCAAGAGTGAACTAATAGTGTACTATAGATTGACTTTCCCACTGTTAATTATGTCTGTATGGCATACCTAAAGGTTTTTGTTTTTACTTTTGTTTCTTTGAGACAGGGTCTTGCTACATAGGTTAGGCTGGCCTTGAACTCACTACGTAGCCCATGATGGCCTTGAACTCTTGGCAATCCTTCTACCTCAGCCTCCCGTGTATTGGGATTATGGATTATACTTCCTGCTTATTTCCTAGTTCCTTACTGTAGCAACACCTTGAACATCTACTGTGTGCCAGACTATGTAGATACTAAGGATACATGAAAGAGTGAGACTTCATATTTATCCTGATGTAATGCCATCTAATTGAGGAGACACAATATAAGCAGTAGTTAGCTAAGTGAAGTAATAGCAGAGTGTAAAGATTGTAAGAAGTGATTTAATGACCTTTGTCTTTAATAGAAGGAGGTTTCTAGCTGGTAATATTTGTACTCTGAAGGAATTAACCTGTAAGAAAATGTCATTACAGGCCGAGTAGATAGCCAGTGAAGAAACCTGAACTTTCAAACCACGAGGGGCACATTTAGGAACAAATGATTTCATATTAATTAGATGTTAAGTATGAAGAGGGAAAGGCATACAAGAGTTAGATTATGAAAGGCCTTGTATGTCATAAGTGACTGGGATATTAGCTTGAGGGGACTTTAAGGGTTTTGAGTAGGAGGAACAAGACCAGGTAAGTTTTTTAGGAAGCTGATTTTTAATACAAAGCCATGTAAAGTGAGGTTGATCATTTAAGAGTATTGCAATACTCCAGGCAAAACATGCTAGGTCCTTAAGCTTAAATAATGAAGATGGAGCAGGAAAGCTTCTAGCAAGATTTGGGTGATAGAATTAGTAGAAATTTGTCAGCTAAGGGAGAAGGAATCTTCAAAGATCATTGCTAGAAGATAGGTTAAATGGCCAGAAGAGTGATGGTGGCAGATTATCTTCCTCATGTATCTTGAATTCTGAATGGGGAGTTCCTAAGCCACATTCTGTTTAGCCTGTTTTCTAAAGTGCCAATAAATTGTCAGCAATTTTGGGGATAAAAAGCCAGGTCACTTAAAGGTGCCCTTCTCCTTGAATTTGCCACATATCATTAAATTATCCTGCATATCTCTACCCTGATTTTCTGTTGAAATAGTAGAGTGAGTTTTTTTCATACTCAGAGTTAGTTTTCTCATAGAGGGAGAGTACATTCACTTTCATCCTAATTCCAGTTGGTCCAATCCAGGTTGAACCATCTGCAGGGCTGAAACCAGTTACTCAAACAGCAAGATTTTAGCTCTCCTTTTTCTGCTTCTTTGGCCTATGTGGTGAGCAGCTTGCCAGGGACTGGGCACTGTGTCATTAAGGCTACTTAAAGTCTCCCTTCAGATTGTTGTTTAGGCTTAGTGGGCTGCTGCCTTTGAATGCTCTTAAGTATGTTTGCTTTCAAGTTGACATAGCCAGAGCCTGATCCATAAAGTCTGCACCCTGAGGAATTCGCAGCTACCTAGGCTGCAGCTGGTAAGTAAATTGGTGGGACTTGTTGGACACCTGCAACCCAGAGAAGGGTGAGATCTCTGAGGTTCTTAAAATTGCTTATTTGGCTCCAATTCAAATTTCTCATTCTGTGGAACAGTGAATGGAATATATATGGAAAGGCTTAAGGTAAAGTCCAGTTTCTATAGGAAGTTTAAAGACCTTTCCATGATCTTCCTCTGTACTTTTTTGGCTTATTTCGCTGCTCCTCTTCTGAATTTTGCTCTAGTAGACTATGGGAATTTTGTAGTACACATTTTTCTCTTTCTCAGCTTTTGCATATACTCTGTTTAATTAGCATGCTGTTTACTGCCCCACCCACCTACTCATTAATTTATTCAAGTGTTTATTATGTCGCTTTTATGTGTCAGCTATTCCTGTCCCTTTTTGTATAATTCTTCCATCCCTAGCTAGAATATCATCCTTCAGGAAGTCCTCCTGATTTCTTGAGTCCTATTCCTGATTTATGGCTTCTTCTCTGTCCTCTTGTAGCTCACTCTATGTTACTCTTTCAGGAGCCTTTTTTATTGTAGTTGTGATTAAATGGGGCAGTTTGCATATCGCTCTTCGCCATAGTGCCTATCACATAAACAAGTACCAAGTAAATGTGAGTTGCTGTTGTCTTAGGTTTCCTACTCTTCCTACTCACAAGCTGTTCACACCCATCCATGTCTCATTATTGTTGCTTACTCTACCAACCTTATCCTTGATGAGGGCCCAAGTGGCATCAGCTTCATCCAGTGTTAGCAGGTGTGGAGTGCTAACCATCATGGTGGACAGAGCAGTGGCTGTTGCAGGAACCCCAGGCTGCCCTGTTAGGTGAGGCCCTATGCCTTGGGCTCTGACCTACTGCAGCATGAGGTCATAGAGGTCCTGCTAGGTGATGTCCTGGGTGGGGTAAGGACAGTAACTTTTTACCCTCATTGCAGCCTGTGGTTCATACTCTTAAGTCACCTGTGTTAGGAGAAAATGGAGGATCTGTTAGGCAACACAGGGTGTGTGTGTGTGTGTGTGTGTGTGTGTGTGTGTAATTCTTGATTTGTCTTTAGGGAAGTAAGAATAGGTTTCTTTAAGTAGCCTCCCTGAAGCAATTTTCTGTTCAGTTAGCTGCAGTTCTAACTCAATAGTTGAATTCTTTGTGAGGTTGTATTGAAGTCCTAAACGATGTGGCAATATAGAACAGGATTTATGGAGAAGTCAGCAGTAGTTCTCAACCTTGGCTGCACCTGGGAATTATTTAGGCGCTTTAAAAATTACTGATGTCATTTCCTACTTCCAGAGAGTCTGATTTCATTGTTCTGGAATATGCCTGGCCATCACAACTTCTAAAAGCTTCTTAGGCAATTTTAATGTGTAGTTTAGGTTGAACCCATTATTAACGGGTGGGTTATAAGTGCATTGAAAAACAGGTATGTGAAGGGGCTGGGGATTTAGCTCAGCGGCATAAGCACCTGCCTTGCAAGCAGGCGGTCGTGAGTTCAATCCCTGGTACCGATAAAAATGAAAAAGACAAAAAAAAAAAAAAAAGAAAGAAAGAAAGAAAAACAGGTGTGTGTGTAGGAGGGCACTGTTGAGCACTGACAATGTGAAGGGTGAGATTCTAATTGAGATAATGTTGCCTTAGTAACTGAAGAGAATTTTCAGGAAACCAGAATGACTGAGGTAAAATTGAGGAAAACTTTCTTCATGCTCAATTGCTTTTCCTAGGCTAATGTTTGTCTAGTAGCTTCTGTCTTCAGCTCCTATTATATCCTCTTGTGTTTTGTCCAGAAATTTCAGTCTAGTGTTGTCGGGTTGACTTAGCCTTTCTAGGAGTTCCTCTTCCCCTCTGGACCTATCTGTCCAAAGAGTACTCTCTCTCAGTGCCCCAGAGAGCCTCCTGTATGCCCAGGGAGAACAAAAAGGGAGTGTGTAGGGAGTGTCCTCCCCTGGCTTGGTCCAGAGTGTACCACAAAGCTGGCGGTCATCTGAGCTTCCTGAGATGGTATGAGTGAGGGGGACAAAGCCGCAGTCCTGCAGTTGTGGGAAAGAGTGATGCAAAAAGAATTTCCTAAAGGAGATGTGACTGGCCTTTGGGGAGGGCAACGTCTCCTTAGTGTTAAGTGTATGAGTGCCAAATGTCTGTGGGCTTGGTCCTGTTTTTCAGGAGAAGAATTAATATCAACTGTTTGTAAGCTCCTCTGTGCTAGGGTCTGTGCCATGTACTGGATACATTATTTTAGTTAATCCTTTTAGGAACCCTTTGATGTAAATACTATTGTTATTCCATTTTACAAGTGAAGAAAAAGCTCAGAGAATTTGCATAATTAGTCCAAGCCATAGAGAGTTAATAAAATGAGATTCAAATCTAATTTTGATTCCAGCTGTAACCATTAAACAGCACTCCTTTTGGTAAAGGAGAAATCAACATTTTCCTTCTGCTTGCTTTAATGTGTGGTGGGAGAGGTGCTTGTTAGATGGAAAGTACAAAGTGGCTCAGAGAAAGGAAATGGGCAGAATGAGAGAGAAGCCACCACAAACCAAAACAGAAACCTCAAGTTTCTCATGACAAATGAAACCAAGTTCCTCCTTTAATTCCCCTTTAACATGTTCATTTTGGTTCACAAGGAGAAGTTACTTAGTGCAATGTAGTGGGATACGTCTGTTCCCTCCAGAAAGAAATTCTGCATGAGGAAGACAGACAGAAGTAAAGTGCAAGAGAGATACACAAGGACAAAAGACAGACATGGGATAAAACTGACAGTGCAAGAGGAGGAGATACCAAGGTCCAGAGACAGTAAGAGGGAGTGGAGTGTTCAGTAGACACAGAGTGGTGCACATGTAGGTAAATGAGGTAGATCCAGGAATGGTCGACTGTTAGTCACATTAGACGGAAAATCCTTTGGGATTTTTGTTCGCAGAGATAGGGCCAGAGAGGCAACTGGATAATGATGAACTCCTCAGCAAGAATCCTATACCTTCAGTCTTTTAAAAATTGCTGATTGCCATGATTTCTAGGCTCCCTAAATTCCATACTGCTCTGTCTTAACATTAAGAAGTCTGTCTTTCCTTTGGGCTCATAGATTCTGAGACTGAAAGTTGTTGAAGGAAAACAGATAACAACATAGTCCTGGATGGAGTTGGTGAGCCTAAGGGGTGGGCTGTTTGGACCACATCCTGCTGCTGGGATTTGTTTCCAGTGTGCACATTTGGGGGATTCCTTGAGAAAGAGGCACAGATCATCTGCAGGACATCTGAGGGTGATGTGGAGAGCATGATGGTTATTAGCAAATGTGGTTGTTTATCCTGAGAACATGAGGTTCCTAGCACAAACCTCCTGGGTAATATAGAAAAGTATGAAAGAGCAAAGATTTTAGAGGGGTAAAGAGCCCTAACAAGTTTCTTCACTTCTCTCAGTCTACAGGGATGATCAGATAAGTCCTTAATACTTTATTTGAAACTTTTGGAGACATATATATTTTGGAGTTAGAAAGTTTTCAAGTTACAGAAAGGGAATATAATAATACATATGTCATATATAATATGTACATATAACATATTAAGGAATACCCAAGTGGGATTCAGGGTAGTGCCCTGTAGTCAAATACGTCAACATTTCTTCAGTTAAATGTATGAATATTTACAACAAATGAGATTAAGATTATAACTAGGATCATAATAGTTGAAGTATATGATTTTGGGTGCTAGATAATGAAAAAAGTTATTTCATCAGAGACTTTTAAACTTGCAGTTGCAGGTAATGGATTTGTGGGTTTACAGTTCTTCTCAGGTTATAATGGAGAAAGAGAGTGCCAGTAGAGTTTTCTAAACCTATCACCTGGTAGATATGTATGAAATCTCAGTCTAGACTATAATACAAATGTCCAAGGAAGTAAATTTTTGGCTTGAAGGAAGAAAATTCTTACAATGGACAACGTACAGCTCTGGAGCCAGCTACTGGGAAATTCTGCAGAACCAGGGGATGGAGGTGCCTTAGCAGAGTCTTCCTGTGGTGGGAAGGGGGCAGAATTCATTGCTGATGAACCTTGGCTGCACGCGGTTTCCCTTTCCACGTATCAGAGGGGAGGCAAAAGCTGTGTACATGTGACATGGGATAGTCGTATGGGAATCTCTTTATATTTCTTTATAATATTGTAATAAATATCTTGTTGTATACATGTTTGTTCACATCTCGATTTTTTCAGCATACATTTTTATGAAATTAAACCTAAGGATGTGGATATCTTAAAAAGACTTAGGATTCATTCAGATTAGTATTTGTCAGTTATTCACAAAATCATTGCTGGGAGGGGTTTTAGACAGAACTTTATGAAGAAAAATTAGTCTTAAAAAGACTGAACCCATATTGCATTGCTATTAGATATCGTTACCTGTTTGGATTCAGTATAATACACAACCATCGTGCAGATCATATGTGCTGTCTCTTTAGTTCTTGTTGATAAGGACCTAGTAAGATGTCATGTGGTCCTAGAGATGGCATCATCTACATTTCCATGTCTGCAGCTGCCTCTTCTGGATGTTGTCCTGTGGTACTTGGTCCGGATCTCTGAATTTAGTGGGTTGGGTTGCTCCTGCCTGTAGGTCTTCATGGCTAACATGAATACCTGTGGTTGTGATAGTTTTCTTGGAGAGCTGGGTTCTGCCTGTGCAGCTTGCAGCACTCTTGGACTGCATAACAGTGACTCCCTACTTCCCATGTGAGATTTTGAACTCTATGCTACTATGAAAGATCTTTTATACAGTGTTCTTTTCACTGTGGAATCCTCATTGAATATCCCCTTAGGCAACACCATGACACTTCCGTTTAATACCTTTTCACTGTGGCAGCTGCAACAGTGTGAAATATTCCTATTTCATCACACTGCAACAACAACACGTGCTTTCAGTAACATTGACCAAGGCAGATAAGGGTGCTGGTGGGGAGTCATTTGGGGATAGTACCTTGGTAGAGGGTACACACAAGGGAGATGGGCAAGAGGTCACTGTGACCTGATCCCAGGCAAGCAGGTTGTACCACAGGCAGCATAATCTCTTTCTGGGACACTAAAGTTTTTTCATTTGAACTCTTACCCCTGAAGCTGCAGGCCCAGGGAAAGATTCTAGCTGTTAATTCTTGAGGCTTGGTAGGATTAGGAGAGGGGGAAGATTGATTATGCATGAGACCAAAAAGATTCACTGAATTGGGAATGTTGTAAAAGTGTTCTGGTTAACTGACACCACAGTCACATCCGGATTCTCAAAGGTAGAGGATAACTCCATATAAATCTCTCCTGAAGACATGCTGAAAATAATCTCCCTGTAAGAAATAGGAAGGGCTGGGGCTGGGGATTTAGCTCAGCGGCATAAGCGCCTGCCTTGCAAGCAGGCAGTCGTGATTTCGATCCCCGGTACGGATAATTGAAAAAGACCAAAAAAAAATAGGGCTGTGATCCCATACCAGCATTCAGGCATTTTCCTTTAGTGGCAGTGCCACCCTCTATGACTGCCAAACCCCCAAGTTTGGGACCTATAGAGGAACTTACACAGGCTTATGTTGGAATGATAGGGATGAGGGCAAGAAAAAATTTCCTTCAGCTGATTTATTTGTGATCCCAACTGATTCCCTTATTTTCCCTGCTTGGTAGTGTGTAGCCCCTTTCCTTCTGCCTCCTCTCAAACAGGAATTGTGGCCAGGCCAAGTCTACAGACGGTGGTGATGCACACAGTTGAGGCTTCACAGAAAATACCTGCTCAGTGATGATCACAGTCATATACAAACAAAGAGAAACAGCATTCCTCCAGGTGCCCTTCTCCTCCTTCACTTCCAGACACCACTGTCATCCGTGTCCATTAGAACTGGCTTTTTCTGAGTGTGAACATCTCCAGGAGTCG